GCCACGCGGCTCAAATCGAAGCTCTACACGCCCTCGCCCCAGCGACGGAAACGTGCACACGAACGAAAATAACTCGATATCTGGCCACGTGGAATTAATTCGCATTTTAACAATCGAGCGCCGGCGCTAAAAAGAGATGGAAAAATGAATATTGACGTGGGGAAGATCGACGCACAAGGAAGTGACCCAGATAGACTCGCGTGATTGTGTTCACCAAGTGAAGCGATATGTTGTCGGCGATATGGAAACTTTGCAACGTTTCAATTATATTCACGGAGTAGATATATCGTGTTGAATTAATTATCAAATTAGCATTATATTGTATGATGAATTTAATAATTTCTTCTGTCATATCTGTAAGTATAATTTCTAGAAATATAACTATAGTTGCATTTATAAGTCCTTTCGTTGCATCTATTGATTTCTCTTCTGTGATATTTATTAAATGTCACTATCATATTTAAATATTACATTCACATGCGGAGAAAAAACGTTTGGTCAAGTTAACCAAGTTTCTGGCAAAATATGAACCAGAGAATCGCGGTTTAAGTTACCAGAATTCTGTTTTGGTTAACACAATTTTTCGTTAACTTCAATGATATTCTGGTTACTTTAACCGGAATTTTTGGTTTATTTCGCGGTCCACGCTATTTCTGTTTTAATATTCTATATGACAGTGCCACATGAAGCACTATTAAGGGATCTTTACACAGTGACTTTAATAAAATTTGTCAAAGTTACCGTGCACTTCTATCTGTCTGGACACGCGAAAATGACAATTGCCGGCGTCGCGGGCGATTCGACGGCGGCGTCGGGACGATTTTTCATCTCGACCCGTATCTCAATTCGAGCGCGCGCTTTCACGGACAATATAATCAAAGCGCCGTCAAGAGCCATTAATTTCTCCGCAGCGCCGCGAGCCGCGAGCGCCGGCCATCAGCGGCGACGCGCGGCGACACGCAGTTTCCGCAAGTACGACGATGATCGATCTCATCGACGCTAAAGATCGCGGCGGTGACCGCGAGGGAGTTAATTACATATGCAAGTATGCGTGTCTGTACTCGTAAATGCATAGCCCCACATAAATCTGCCGATTCAGCCCGCGGCGGCGCAACCGCCGTGATGGCCGTTGTTGCCTCGTCCGCCTCCGCCGGGCACACACCATCTCTCACCCTGCTCCTTAACCCGATGTCCGACTTGCGCGACGACCGCTCGTCCCCCTTGTCCCGGTCTCTCCACCGCCGAAGGTGGTGGAGAGATGCATCCCGACGACCTCTCGTAGAGCGGCCGAGAAAAGGCGCTGCATCGCATTTCGCGGCGTCTCCCGCGGCGATGCGCGCGGACTGATGTGGGCGAGGGTGGTAGGTAGGTAGGTAGGTAGGTAGGTTGGTTGGTTGGTAGGTAGGTAGGTTGGTTGGTGAGTACGTAGGTAGGTAGGTAGATAGGTGGAGGAGAAAACCGGTGCCCCTTTCCCTCGGTGCACCATGTCTTCGGTGCTCATCGCGGATTCTTCGTCGCGGACGATGCAAAGCGAGTACTGCCACGGCGAGTCGAAATGTGTCTTTTTTCCGTCCCAGCGAGCCTCGCGATCATCACGATAAGCAGCGACGCTCAAAACTTAGATTTCTCGATTGTTTCAATGAGAAAAAAAATTATCTTTAAATCAACAAATATTTCTTTGATAGGTGCCATTAACATATCTAATTAAATCTAAATTCTTTTTATTTAAATATTGTTTACTTAAATCAGGTAAACAATATTTGATTTAAATAAAGAGATTTTAAGTAAATATATTAATGGCATCCATCAAAGAAATATTTGTTGATTTTAAGATAATTTTTCTCTCAGTGTTCGGAAATTTTATCGAATAAATAACTGTACGATCTAAATTTCTTCGAGCGAAATCTCGCTGAAGATAAGCGAAAATAGCAGTATATCCGCTCAAAACGAAAGTAGTGAAAATACTGCTAATAGAAATCACAGCCCTATTACATAGAATATTGTACTTTCTAAATTTCTTGGAATTTTACTTAAAACGAGTGAAAAATGGCAATATTTTCAATCAAAGTGACAAAGAATATACTGCCATTCGAAATCACAAGAATGAATATTTCACTCATGCTACTGACCGGTGTTAACTGTGATAATTTTTAGTATATAAATTTACCAGAATCTTCCTAGATTTAACGTACTATGTTCGTAATATGTTCCGATCAAAATATATAGATTTGTTTCAAAGTGATTTATCGACCTATATAGATTATAAGATTCCTTAATTATACATAGGATAAGACCGATGATAGAAAAATTATTGATTTCCTTGACTGAAACATATGATGAAAAGTATGAAGTTACATAAAGTAAATTTAAAATAAATTATCGTTCAATTGACTTTAAATTATAAACAATAATGATCCCCAATCGTTGAAGTTAATATAATAAAAATAAAAAAATTGTTCTTCTCGCGGTTAAAATTTTTTCAAGTTTAAACGTGATTTTTCTCAGCTTCGTTTTTCGTTTTATAAAGTTCTTTTATTTTCGTTTTATGGAATAAAATAAATGTTTATAGAATTAATTTGAAAATTATAAAAAATCTTTGAAAAAACACCGTAGAGAGCAAATTGGATCGGTTTGGATTTCCCACTTAAAATCGAGTCTTTGAAACATTATATTTTTGACTTGAATCTTCGTTCAATCTCCCAATTAAAATTCATAATTTTATTGAAACATTGAAGTTCGATCCCAATTAGATCCTAGGAAAAATGTTTTACACGGATTTCTTCCTACTTTCTCTATTTGTGGCTAGTGTCAACATAACAATACTTTTTATATTAAAAGAAGATATTGAAGTTGTACCAACGAACGGAAAGAATTTTATATAAAGTAAAAATTAAAATTTACTTAATTAATTAAAAATAATATAATACCAAATAAAAATTAATTAGTTAAAAATTACTATAGAATTTTATAACCAAAGAATAAATCAACATTCTGCAGAGGACTTGACTGTCCTCTCACTTCATATATGTGCTATTTATATTTTAAAAACTGAAATATTTAAAAAATCAATTATGTTCCTTAACAAGATAGATCTTACTGACAGTAACTATTCCCACACTATTAGAAATATAATAAAACCGAAAAATTTATATAAAAAAAAAAAAAAAAACTATAATATTCTCTCCGTCCACAATCATATAATTTCAAGCAAATTTTTTTTATTAGATTTCGAGATTTAATAAAATGTGTTAGGATTAAAAAAAATTGGAAATTGTCTCTCTATTTTGATGACAATCGCCATGATATTGCTTGACAAAGTGCTTCTTTGAGCGAAATTAATCGTTTCGATCGTGCCTAAAAATCGCGCATTACGGAGACATGAAAAGCATGCCTCGGGACAATGGCCAGTAATGAGCTCAGCCTTTCACGAGCACGCGGTATGAAAATTCGAGGGGGTGAAACCCGCGGACCACCCTCCCTTTCCACTGGCAGCACGTTTAAAAGAATTCCCTTGGACGATCGGTCGGTCGGTCGGTCGACTGGCCAACGCCCTCCAAATATTGTTCCGCCGCTAATTGCCTTATTAATACATACGAGAATTTCGCGTTAATATTCCAAGCCCTCAGTCGATTCAGCATTGCCGATGTTTGGCCGAAAACAATGGCTCGTTAAACTAGTGTTATCGTCGCCCGTCACGTGACGATCGATACGCTAAATCGACACCTACGTTTCGCGGATAAAACGAGCAGGCGCTAAACGCAAATTAAAGATGCGACTTCGGATTTAACTTGATAAATCAGAGTGAAGATTTTTTTATTTAGCTCGATACACATTGAGTTGGTATTTATATTGCTATCTTGAATATTTTCGAAGCAAGAAACAAAAAGGTGATCTCCATATTTTCGAAACCATTCTACTTAGAAAAGAAAAAGTTTCTCGTGATAATTAAGTTTTCTTTCTGGAAGGAGCAGTTTCGAAGACGCTCTTGTTTTTTTGCTTCAAAGACATTTAAGATGACAATATTTATTGAATCATCCTATATATGTATATAAAGATTTCAGATGATCTTTAAATGCAAGAGTAAAAAACTACAATGAGAAAAAAAATATCGAAAAGTAAAAGGTATCTATTCAATGAGTACCAATAATATGTTTTTTGTATTAATATAATATATATATTTTTACATGGAAAAAAATTTTCTCCCAAAATATGTATTTTCCTAAAGCTATTCTTTTCCACGAAAGCAATTGCTAATTCTATTAAAACAAAAGAATTTAGGTTTAAGTAAATATGTCATCAATATCCACCGAATAAATATTTTTCATTTTCTAGATATTTCTTTTCTCAGTGCAGAATGTGTTCATATACAAACTCCCATTTCTATCACATTATTTTCCAATAATAAATTCTTTGACCAACTGGGGGTTTCGCTCAAATGTCAAGACAATAATGATTTTCAAACTATGAGCGAGTAAAAAAGAACTAGATTTCAGTCAAATATACACCAAATTACGTTTTTAAGCTAATCTCTGAGGTTTATTGTAGTAAAATCTTTGTTTGAAAATTAATTGCGCGGATACAAAGTGATAAAAACTATCACACTTACAAAAAACGATTATATTCCCTCGACATTTTTGTTGACAAAAAATCGCTCCAAACGCGTGTAGAAAATCTACAAAATAATGCGATAGAAAGGACACACCCTGTATATAAATAGATGCAATAGTTGAATCAATTTCGGACCGATATATTATTAATTTGGTGCTGACACTCCACACGCGCATAATTAATGAACCGCACTGATAATTAATTTTATGTACAAAACAGAGAAATTAATATAGAAGAGCTCACTTTATGCTGCTAATGCAATCACACTAGGAAGCTCTATCTTTAAGTTTACCGCTGCGTGTGTGTTTCGAAAATTTAATTAATCGCATTATTTGTCATTATTTGATCGACGATGTGTACCACAAGTAATGTTTTCGTGTTTTTAATTGCAGACGGAAATGTGAGGCCGATGGGAAGGAGGCGAAGGCGGAGCTGACGGCGCAACGCAATATGTTCCCTAGCGCTCAAATTAAAATGAGGTAAATAAATCCGCATCCGAAAGCTCCGGTAAATTTACGACTCGTCCTACGGTAGTCTGAGAAAGATTTATACGGCACGCTTCATACAAACAAATTCAAGCCATGCATGGCGCAAAACTGCTGCCTGGCTAATTGCAATTTTTTTTAACATAACTTGACGTCACATGTACACAATAAGCTAAGTTCATTTGGACGCTTCCGTGCTGAAAGCATCGTTCTATCTTTATTGCTTACATGCCCAAGGAACGACGCTTTCAGCACGAGAGCATCAGCAAAACGAGCGTAGCCACAACTCTCTAAATTTTCTGAAGTAGAATCTCATTCAAAACAAGTAAAAAGTGGCAGAAGCGGTCGTAAAAATATTGTCATTCGAGAGTGAACGCATCACTTAAGCTTAGAATAGATTTTGACTCTATATGATCAAATATCTCAATTAATTAGAGCGAATACGCTTTTCTGACAATAAAATATGTCGGATATTAATTTCGAGTGAAAATAATTATTCAACAATTTAGAATAGACAATTAACTCTATAGATAATATTCACAGTCAAATCTTATATTTAAGAACGTCTTCAAATTGTCTTCAGATACGGCCAGAACAGCATTTGAATGTCTGTTCTGGCCTTTTGTCTTAACACGGCCAGAACTTGAATGAACGTCAAGACGAGTGAAATACAAGACTGGTATGCTAGTCTATATGAAAGAAGTCACTCAGGTTCGATCACTCGATAGTCACTCTGCTTGTAAAGAGTGAGATTTCACTCCGCGAAATTTAGAGAGATAACTCCAATACGAAATATCGCGAGAGCGCGAGATAATTAAAACGGCAGTGTATGATCGAAAATATCTTTTAAGCCCATATCACATTACGGATTGGAAATGGAGGATTGCGGATTGAAGATTAGATTTCGAGGAATCAATGCACTTTAGTCTTGGCCTGCTTGGTCAAGTTCCAATCTTCAATCCGCAATCCTCTATCTCCAATCCGTAGTATATGACACGAGCTTTAAGGAATTATAACTCAAAAACTCACAGTCAGACCAGTCGCAGATACATCGCAGATTGACCGTCGATGCAGTCGCTCTCCGTTGCACAGGATTCGCACTTGTCCCACTCAATCGCTCGTAGTCCATTGTTCACCGCATACGTAGGCACAACGCGATCCGAAACAGTTTGACGCGCTACCGGCCGCGGACAATACGATACTAACGAGCACGCGGTGTAACGGCGAGCACGCGACAGTTTTTGCCGGTGTTATTATTGTTTACGTCGCGCGCGCGGCGGAGCTAGCGACGTCACGCCACTTATCTCCGCGTCATCCAAACTTCCAACGATACGATCTGCTCCTCACGATCTGCTCCGCGGTGTAGCACTTTTCGCACTTTTCACAAGAAGTGCACTCGCTCGCGATCTCTTCGCGAAATAGGGAAAGGGCCTGAGCACAAAGATTGTCGCAATCTTTTACAACAGTATCGTAGACGTAAGTCGGTGTCGAAAGTCAACGCACAAGGATTGGCGTAGACATATGCTGTATTAAATATGATTAGACGACTGATGCAGCATACGTCTACATCAATACTTATACGTTGACTTCCGACACCGATTTACGTCTACGACACTGTCGGAAACGATTGCGACAATCTTTGCTCAGGTCCAAAGGCGTATTGAAAGTGTAGTAGAAACATTCCCCTGAGTACGATAATTAACGAGGCTCCGCGTGTCATCGCGAGATTCCGCTACGTGATTTGAGGTTCTAGTACATTCGACTCGGCACGTAGGATAAAACCTGAACCTAATTATTGACACCGGCTCGATCGTTAACATCCAATGATTCCAAAAGAGAACTTCACAGCTGAGACCGTGAACAAGTAGTGGCGGAGAAGTCAGACTTTTCTAGATTGTTAATGACTAGAGTCGATCATTGGGTGTCAATGATCGCGTGTTTTGCCCGAATACACGTCCCGATTGTAACTGATTATACGCGCAAGTTCATGAAAGTAAGATCAACAATCAAAAGAGCGAGGATCGAAACGAACAAGTGACGGTGGACTGAGATTGATCGTCGATTGAGTTACTCACACGCGAATCAATGCGCCGTCGATGCTACCTTCTCGTCGTCGCTGCATATACCGTTGCATACGCTCGTTATCCTCGCGCTTACTGGCTTATTGTCCACCACGACGCGTTCATTTAACGTTCACATGAAGCACGGAGGCAAGGCGGCCAGAGAAGCACGCTGAATCACGATTCCGCGAGACATTCGAACGGGAACACAACGATCAAGCGGCAGTTCGCACCGGATCCTTTACAACGTGTCGCGAGACTCCGCGGTAATGGCGGTTCCTCTTGGCGCCAAATTACCGCTGCAAGTTTCATACGCGTGACGTCACGCATATGGCCGACCTTAAGGCAGGAGCACACATAACAACTCAAGCAATAAGCAAATCGACCAATAATAGGCGATCATTTTCCTAAGTGCACAAATACTCGATTATGATTAGTCAATTTTCTTATTCCTTGCGTTCTTTTGTGTACCTCAATCTTAGTTACTACACTTTCCGTACTTAGAACGAATGTTTATTTGAGGTAATGGAGAAGAGGGAAAAAGGAAAGAGAGAAAGATAGTACAGAAAGTGTAGATTGAATGAATATATAGCTGTAGCGTTATTTATCTAATAAGACACACGACTTTATCTAATATATTATAACTCTGAGGAAAAAATACTTGCTAGTTTATTTGTGGGGTGTACGGTTTATATATTAAATAAACTTTATATACTACAAACAAATCTTCGTGTATTTCTCCTCAGTGTATGATATCTTCATCGTACGTTGTGAGATCATTATTAAAGAAGCGGGAATGGGTGCAAGTAGGTAACGAAAAGCTGTAATCGTTTATAGAACCACTCACCGAATAATTCGGCATCGTTGTCTCTTTTTGCTTTGCCCTTGCTTTCGGCGTCCACTTGTCACTGCTCTCACTCGATCATCGCTCATCTGTTTGACAGTCACTTGTTGTTCACTTGTCGCGCGGCCACGAATCGATTGAAAAATCGATCGTTCGATCGGATTCCCTGCTCTCCGCGAGATATTTAATGAGTGCACGACGATCAGTTCGCACCGCATCCTTGACAACGTGTCGCGAGACTTTACGGTAAGAGCGGTTCCTGTCGGCGCCAAATTTTCACCGCAATTTCATACGCGTGACGTCACGCATATAGTCGACTTATGGCAGGAGTACACATAACAATATAGATGATACTCATGCAGTAAACAAATCGACCAATCACAGGCGATCGTTCTCCTGGGTGCATGAATACTCGATTGTGATTGATTAATTTTCTTATTTCTTGCGTTCTTTTGTGTACTCCGGTCTTAGATACTACACTTTCTGTACTTAGAATGAAAGAATGTTTATTTGAGATAGTAGGGAGGAGAGAAGAAGGAAAAAGAGAAAGATAGTACAAAAAATGCAGATTGAATAAATATATAGCTATATATACGTTATCTATCTAATAAGACACACATAACTTATCTAACTTATAACTAATAACTTATAACTTTTATCTAATATATTATGCCAGCGGTACACAATGCTTGTTTTCGCGCTACTTTGCTTGCTAGATTGAAATATTCTATTCGTATTGGTGCATTTTTGAAAATAGATGGAAATGCACCAATCGAAACTGAGTATTTCCATCCAGCAAACAATTCATCATGAAAACAAGCACCGTGTGCCGCTGGCTTTACATTTTGAGGAAAAAAATATTTGCTAGTTTATTTGTGGGGTATACGGTTTATATATTCACAGAAATAAACTTTGTATACTATACGGAAAAAAAGATTTAGTTGAATTAACCAAATATCTAGTCGAATATGAACGATCCAGAATTTCCGATTGAAGTAACCCGTTATTTAACCAGACATGTCTGATTATTTAACCAGACATGTTTAGTTAGTTTACCAAAAATCTTGTTAATTGAAACAGAATTCGGATTACTTCAATCGGAATTTCTGAATTGTTCATATTCGACTAGATATTTGGTTAATTCAATCAAATCTTTTTATTCCGTGTACAAACAAATTTTCGCGTATTTCTCCTCAGTGTATGATATCTTCATCGTACGTCGTAAGATCGTTATTAAAGAAGTGGGAATCAGTACGAGCATGTAATGAGAAGTTGCGATCGTTTATAAAGTCACTTACCGAATAATTCAGCATCGATGCCTTTCGCGAATAGATCGCGAGCAAATGTACTTTTTGTAAAAAGTGCAAAAAGTGCTGCACCGGAGAGCCGCGGAGCGAACGATCTCATGAGGAGCAGATCGTATCGTTGGAAGTTCGATTGACGCGTCGATAAGTAGCGTGATTGCGCGTCGCTAACTCTGCCGCGCGCGCGACGTAAACAATAACACCGGCAATAAAACAATAAAAACTATCGCGTGCTCGTTGTAGTATCGCGTTGTCCGCGGTCGTTAACGCGTCTAGTTATACGTTTCGCATCGTCTTTGTGCCCGCGTGTGCACTGAATAATGTGAGAACAATGGACTATGAGTGACTGAGCGCGACAAGTGCAAATCCTGTGCAACGGAGAGCGACAGCATCGACGGCCAATCTACGTCGGATCTGTCGGTGAGTTTTTGAATTATAATTTCTTAAAAAATATTTCCGATTATGCGCTACTGTTCGCTTTGTCTTTCGACATCCACTTGTCACTGTTTCGATCATCGCTCACCTGTTTGACAGTTACTTGTCATTTGCTACGAATCGACCGAAAAAACGCATTCGACTGCGACTCCGCGAGTGTATTCAACGAGTGCATTCAATGAGTGTACGACGACCAGACAGCAATTTGTACTAAAAGATTCTTCACGTGTCACAAAACTCCACGATAATGGCGGTTCGGTTATTGACGCTAAATTGTTGCCGCATAAATCGTATTTTTCATATGTGTGACGTCACGCGTACAATCCGCTTAAATATGTTATTATTATATGCGTTACACTTTCTATACTTGGGGCAAAAGTGTTGTTTATTTGGGACAGCGGAGAGGGAGGAAAAGGGAAAGAGGTAAAAATACATTGTGAAAGAAATACTCGAAAATTTATTTGTAGGATACCAAGTTTATCTACGAAAATCAATTTTATATCTCATAAATAAATTAAAACTATTTTTTCTCAGTGTAGCAGAAAGCGCAGCTTACATATACCTTTATCTACTGGGAGCTGCATTCCAAAACATCCTTTTTGAAGAAAATTTTACTGAAAATCTATAGTTCACGTTACATATATTATGAAGAAAAATTTTGAAATGTAACTCTACACTGACAAGTAACCTACCCAAAAGGTACACTCCGATTTCTTTCTAATTTGGCACAAATATAGAAGTACATAAAATATTTAGGTCATATTTTTTTCATTTTGACCCACTTTGAGTTTCACAGGCAATTTATAGCTTTTTAATGTTCTCACTCCTATCATTAAGTACAATAAAAATGCATAAGAAATAAAATTGAATACAAGATATAATAAAATAATTTTAACAAAATCGGCATAGCTGAGACACGGACCATTCTAAATTTCTTTAGAGCCGAGATTCCCATTGAAATATTTTAAATCTATGCTAAATTAGTAAAAAATGATTTGAATCTCTCTCTCTCTCTCTCTCTCTCTCTCTC